CCACTGGATGGCGCCGCTAATGTTGCCACGCAATGCGTGGCAACATCACTCGCCTTTGGGTGCAACGCAGCCCAGCAGCTCCAGATTTGAGAATCGTGACGCAGCCCAGCGGTGGTTCCTGACTAGAGAAAACTGACATCATGGCCAGCGGCGCTTCTGGTTGGACGTTGTAACGCAAATCAGAAGTGTGGCAGCTTGGGCTAGTTAGTATGGCATGACGAAAGTTACAGCGCGAGCACAAGACGACGACGCAGAGGCAAGAAGGACACGAATGACACGAGCGCTAACTTCCAACTGAGTTTATTGCGCCGAGCGCGAAAATATATGGAGGAGACAGTAACCATGTAACAAAAAACATAATGGCAGTAAGAGGAAAACATGAGTAAGGGTAAAAAAACGAAAACAAAAGCACAGAAAAAGGCAAAAAAAAGTCTATAAGAAAACGAAACAGAATTGTAAAGGTAATATAACTACTTGCGCGAACCAAAACCATCGAGGAACCTTAGTTCCTTCTCGAACAGAGACACGGAGGGCTTGCTAATACAAGACACCTGTTCGCGTGCCATCTGCGCCGCCTCGACAATGACTCGGGTGCACTCCTCTTTGTGCTTGTACAGCGTCGCCGTGTCCGTGAAAAGGGGCACACAGTTGCACTCAGTGCAGTGATGAGCAAGAAAACCATCTTTCCCATTTCTAACACAGTTAGCATGTTCTCTCAGTCGATCGTTCAGACACCTTCAGGTCGTTCTGACATAAGAAGCACCGCATGAAAGGGGGGTCCTATAGACAACTTCCCAGGGGCATTCTGCTTACATGTTTCTATGCTGAACTCTGCATTCCGTTGATGACTGCGTTTTCAGGGGGTTCGTAGATTTGGTGAGGCTGATTAATCTGAACGGTGCAGAGAACAGGACACGAACTACAAGTCGTTTTCCAATTTTCTTGAGCCTGTGTTATATCTGGTGTTTTTATGGAATCACGGCGATCCTTTCACGCAATACATCCGTGTTGCTTGGATTTTGTCGCTGCCTCTACCCTGCCTTATTACTCCACAGGATAGTCTCAGCAACGGAAGCGATAAACGCCTCGGGGAAACCCGAAGCCTTAAGCCGGGAAACTCGAGCTTGGAAGCTCGCAGAGATGTTGTGGGTGCACGACCTATTGAAGGCATTCTAAAGAGAGGTGCGTGCTATGCCTCGCTTAACTAACTTGCAGTGAGCGGAAGAAAAAAGAAGTAAAGGTTTTGGCGCACAAGGTTCATAACACCAACAGATGTGCCGTGAGCTAAAAAAGTTTTGAATCCAAAAAGCGTAACTTGTCATTCTTGGGCGTTTCATGTGTCAACACAAGACGCTTTGAACAAGCCTCGGCTTGTTTAAGTGAGGCACAGCACGAAGCTGTTTTGATCTTCAAAGCTCAAGTTTCCCTGCTTAAGTCTTCGGGTTTCCCCGAGGCATTTATCGCTTCCATTGCTGAGACTATCCTGCGGACTAATAAGGCAGAGCAGAAGCAGCGACAGAATCCGAGCAACATGGATACAGAGCGTGAAAGGATAGCCGTGATTTCATACAAACACCAGATATCACACAGGCTCAGGAAAATTAGAAAACGAGTTGGAGTTCGTGTCCTGTTCTCTGCACCGTTCAAATTAATCAGCCTTACCAAATCTACAAACCCCCTGAAAATGCAGTCATCAACAGAATGCAGAGTTCAGCATAGAAACAGGTATGCGGCTTGCTTCCGGGAAGTTGTCTATAGGACCCCCCCCCCTTTCATGCGGTGCTTGTTATGTCGGAACAACCGGAAGTTGTCTGAACGATCGACTGAGAGAAGACGCTAACAGTGTTAGAAACGGGAAAGATGGTTTTCTTGCTCAGCACTGCACTGGGTGCAACTGTGTGCTACTTTTCAAGGACACAGCGACACTTTACAAGCAGAAAGATGAGCGCACCCGAGTCATTGTCAAGGCTGCGCAGATGGCATGCAAACAGGTGTCTTGCATTAGCAAGTCCTCCGTGTCTCTGTCCGAGAAGGATTGATTGATTGATATGTGGGGTTTAACGTCCAAAAACCACCTTAAGATTATGAGAGACGCCGTAGTGGAGGGCTCCGGAGAGCTCGACCCTCTGGGATTCTTTATTGTGCACCTAAATCTGAGCACACGGGCGTACGACATTTCCGCCTCCATCGGAAATGCAGCCGCCGCAGCCGGGATTCGAACCCGCGAATGGCGGGTCAGCAGCCGAGTACCTTAACCACTAGACCACCACGACGGCGCTCTGTCCGAAAAGGAACTAGGCTTCCTCTAAAGTTTTGGTTTGCGCAAGTTGTAATATTACCTTTACTTTTCTGTTTCGTTTTTTTATAGATTTTTCTTTGTCTTTTTTCTGTGTTTTTGTGTTTTTTTTTCTTTTTTCCTTACTCATGTTTTGCTCTTTGTGCCATATGGTTTTCGGCACATGGTTACTGTCTCTTCTATACATTTTGGCGCTCTGCGCAATAAACTCAGTTGGAAGTTAGCGCTCATGTCCTTCGTGTCCTTCTTGTCTCTGTGTCGTCGTTTTGTTCTCGCGCTATAACTATTGAAGACGTAAGGGTCGACCCGGTGCATATAAAAAAAGCCAAGCGGCGCGTTGCCAGCAGCTGACCTATGCGTCAGAGAGAAACCTCGGCTAATCGAGCCCCTTTCGCTGTCAGCGCGGCTGGTGTCCTTGGAAGGGGTAAGTTTCCTGGCGCAATTCGTAACCTTGGCGGCGGCGGGCTTCGTTAAGTGGATGGCAGCTGCGAGAAAGGCCGGCGACAGTGACATCGATGCGGTCAGTGCCTCATTTCCCCTCGGTTCACCAGACTACTCTAGCACAGGTTATAGTAGTTTAGAGAAGGCCTGTGTTATGCATTACTGAGTGAGCTTTGATCGTTTCAAGATGTCAGAGTGCTTTGAAACCATAGTTATTGCGGACAGTGCAAGTACAGCAGTGTTAAAAATTGCTTGCGCATCTTGCTAGTCGACTTGGAGTATGTGTGGCAAGTAGATTTTTAACAGGGGCAAACAGCAAGAGGGTAGTGTGAACGATGAATAACCTTAAAGGGAAGGAACTTATTGACATTTGCGAGGAACGTGGCCTTACTTTGGACCATGCGAAACGAAAGTAAGTGATCGTTGAGATCATGAAGGATGAAGAAGTGTCAGCTGAAGAAGTCGATGAGGTCTGCGCGGATATCAAAGCACGCCGCGAGGAGGCTGAAAGGCGAGAAGTAGAAGTTCGCGAACGAGAAGAAGCTGAAAGGGGCGCGAACGTCGCAAGCATGAGGTGGCTGAGAGACAGGAGCGGCTCGAGTGTAAACGAATAGAATTGGCAATCCTACAGTGTTTGCAGGCGCCTAGCGTAGCTTCTGCGACAGTTCAGGTCAGCGGTCAGAGAATTCGCGACACACTGCTATCGTTCGTAGTAGGCGAGGACTTGACGAAGTATCCCGCCAAGTTCGAACACGTCTGTGAACGAAATGCCTTGGAACGATATCTTTGTCGCAGAACCTGTTAGCTTTTCTTTTCGGCGAAGTGTCCGACGTGATAACGTGCTTGTCGAGAGAAGCGTTTGAGCGTTAGTACGAAGTTCAATAAGTGATTTCGCGACGTTATAAGTTGTCACCCGAGGCTTTCCGGCAAAAGTTCTGGTATGCTAAAAAGGGGAATGAGTTGCACGTTGACTTCGCGTTTCGTCTTAAAGCCGATTTATTTGAAGGGCTCAAGGGCGAAGGTGTTTATGATGATCGCGATAAAGTGGTAGAATGCATTGCGTTGGAGGAATTCTACCGCTGCATCGAGGATGATGTCAAGATTTGGCTGCAGGACAAACTTGGCAAGGTGCAGCTTAACAAGGCAGCAGAGTTAGCCGACGAGTAATATACTCGCCGAAATTTGCATAGCAGAGCAGTACGCGTTGAAAAGAATGAAAGGAAAGAGAGCTTTTCCAAGAAACCTGATCAATGAAAACCCACCCCACACCGTAAATTCAGGAAGGACCCGTCTCTTGTGCAAAACACTGTAGGGAGGGCAAACGGAAGCGGACAAATCGAATGAGGTTCCTAAACAACGCACGGATACACCACACGTGTTCTCATGGCACCCAGTTTCTCCTAGAAATTTGTAATTCAATGCAATGGGAGTGATCGCGGCATGGGAGCTATGTTGTGCCAGGAAGACAGCGCTGGTAACCAAAGGCCAGTTTTGTATTTAAGTCGAAAACTGAGCTGCAGGGAAGAGGCCTACAGTACCTCTGGAAAGAAATGCGCTTGCCTCGTGTGAGCCGTTCAAAAGTTAGCCTGTTATGTCTCCGGTTCGAGGTTTGTGGTCGAAACGGACCACTGTCCTCTAGCCTGGTTAAATAACATGCGGCCTAAAGGTGGCCGGTTACTGAGGTGGAGCATGATTCTCCAACAGCACAACTTATACGCTCGCTTTAAAAAAGAAAAGCTAAACGCTGATGCAGACGCACTAAGCCGTGTGTTTTAGTGAGTACCCTTTCCACCTTTCGGTCTTTCGCTGGCGAGTTGGGACACAATTTTGTCCTCATCACGGCCTTAGCTTAGCGCACTCGTCCAGAGGGATCTCAAGGGGCCAACTTTATATTATATTCTATTTCATTACGTTGTTCTACGAGTAAAAATTTGAGGTCCTATTCTAAGAGTATTGTGTTCAACGTGTGCCTCTTGATGTACAGGGAACGAAATTCCGATAGACACGTAGCTTGGTATATGTTGTACTATACTTTGTCCAGTGCTCTGTCGGTTAACCGAGGGCACTTGCTTGCATCGTGTGTTGTCCATTGTCGAACCGTTCTTGACAAGTTGCAGAATCATCGACAAGATCTGAGACCAAAAACCGTCAGATGAGACAAGTGAAGCTTGTCGACAAGTAGGGGCGACAACCAGTGGAGCTGGGATCCGTCCTCAAGAATGGGATGTGTTCATGGAACTGAGCCTGGGGCTACATTCTTCCTATGACCCTCGAGGCTAACCTGGATGGACCTGGCCAACGGGCACTCCCAACATCCGAGCCACATGGAAGCAACTCGTCTTTCCGGCGCATTGTCTGGGAGCGGGGGTGCTGTTTACGCCTGAGAGTCCACACCGAACATTGTTGCCTCTCCAAAGGCAACCTGTGTCAAGGCCACCGATCGAGCCTGCCTGACATCATCATCTCAACGGCGACATGCAAGCGGCGCCATCCAGTCTGGCGAGTCTTACGCTATGCGTGGCAACATCACTCGTCCTTGGTTGAAACCCAGCGCAGTGTCTCCAGATTTGAGGATCATGACGCAACCCAGTGGCGGTTCCTGACGAAAGGAATCTGACATCATGGTCAGCGGTGCTTCTTATTGAACGTTGGTGGTGTAAAAGTCCACCCGGTGTCTATAAAAAAGCCTTGTGGCGCGTTTCCAGCAACTGACATTTGCGTCAGAGAGAAGCCGACTTATACGTCAGAGGGAAAACATCTCGGCTCTTCAAGTCTCTAAGCTGTCGGCCCCAGTGCCGAATTGGTAACGCCTCTATCTCTATGATGTTCATAAACCTTGCCTTAACTCACCGTCGTGTTGTCCGCTCGTCTATCAGCTCTGCGCAGAAGCAGTCGCGAGCTAAGAAACACACGCTACCAAACAGCCAGTGACATTGGCAGTGGTGAGTTTTGTGGCGCCCTTCGTAACCACGTCAGCGGCGCGCCTCGTAACAATTCTCTTCTTTGAGGTGAGGTATTCTTTATTTATTTATCGTGAATACATTGAAAGGCTGACGACAAAAGCTGCATACAAGCAGCTTGACAGGCCCGTCAGCCCAATTCAAACGTCAGCAGCAGACGGCAGATATGCATGCTGTAGAAATTTACAGTAATAGACACAACACACCAAAGTATTGCAATTCTATTGCGATAACAAAAATATGCAAGTAAAAAATATATGCACGCTAACAACTAAACAAAGAAACAATATTGTATTCGAAAAACATAGGAACGCTACAAACAAGAAAAAGAGAAACGACGAGGCAATACTGAAACATACAAAAGTGCAAATAGTGTCAATTTACAAAAAAGATGCACCGGTAAAAGAAAGACTGATCATAAAAAGTAAAAATGGTTACACCAATCAGGCTATCACCCACACGAAGATGCATATGCACAAAAATGTTACACATAGGAAAACCAACAGCTAGTAATTGAAGGCCCGAAAAATTGAATGCATAATGCATTAAAACGGTACACACAGGAAAAAAAGTAATGTTTGTTGTTGAAGGTGCGAAAAATTTGAGTAGCAACGAGAAGGAGTAAAAAGAAGGTCTGTAACGAAGGTCGGCAAGGCAGAATCGATAGACACTTGGCGATAACAAAATGGGCGACGTAAAAAAAAAAGAGAGAGAAACCTTACCAGGATGACGCTATCAATCTACGCACTTCCTTTTTGGAAGTACGCGTCATATCTATGTTTCTTGCTTCCAGTTTGTTCAGTAAGCGCGGCAAAGTATTAGATAATGTTTGCAGACCGTATGATGTACGAAAGGTGGGCACGTGCCATCGTTCAGTGTTTCTGCAAGTGTATACAGGCGCATTCGGGCAAAGGCAGGCCAGCTCAGATAAATTTTTGCAATTTATCTTTAGCTTGGGCCACCGTAGGTTTGAACCCAGCGGCAAGAAAATTACATACTGACCAGGTATTAGGGGACTGATTACGAATAAGCGTCTTCCAAGCTGCCTGTCGTGAGCATGGGAGCAGTCGGAATTCCACCATGGGCTATAGGGTTGTCTCTTCGCCGATTCAACAGCATATGAAGTTCTTGTGTATGTTCTTTTATTTACTGCGGCTAATTTCATAGCTTTATTGTCATCGCCGTCTTAAGAGAGAGAATCTAAAGCAGCTTTCAGGTCGTGTTCAAATTTTAATAATTTAAAAAGATCCAGGCAGGGGTACCTGATGGTTTAACAGGGCAAGCGATCTCGAACACTATAGTAAATTGGTCGCTGGTGGAGGCGCAATCCAGGGCTGTCCACGATGTACTAGCAATAGCTGAGCTTACAAAGCTTATATATTAGGCAAAGCATGAACGACCTCAAATAAATCTGGGCGTATTAGCGTTGAGGCACAATGAATTGTTGTCTACAGGCCAGTCAAACAACCGTTGGCCACATTGATCCGTTCTAAAACCCCAGCATGTTTGGTGAAAATTGAAATCGCCAACTAGAATTTTTTCTTTACACCATGGTTTAACAGTTATATCTATATATCACGTGTCTTCTACGCTCACAGGAAAGTAGACGTTTATTAGAGAGAAAAGCAAGTATCCTGGAAAATTTATATCTAAGGTGAAAATTTCGCATTCACAAGGTATACATTTGTATAAGATTTTTACTTTTGGACTGATTTTATGGTTTATAAAAATGGTAAACTTCCACCTTTGGATAGATGGTGTAATAGAAAAGATTGTAAATCGGGTAGTCGAAACAACCGATGTGTGGAAAGCCCAGTTTCTTGCAATGAAATAATATCAGGATCAAACTTGAAAGATAGGTACAACAGATCTGTTATAGCTCAGTGAATAGATCGGCTATTCGAATGCATCATTTTCAGAGGCCCTATGATTTCGTGAAAATTGTATCGGCAACAACCTTACCTATATTCCCTTCTTTTAGAAAATTGGTTTTTGAAACATCGTTATTGCGTTAACTTTTGCTTTTTACATGTTCTGGCAAGCCAGATTTATTCGATATAGGAGATCTAGAACGCTTTAGTCATTTAAAGCTTATGTCCATATAATCTATATCCTGAGAAACGTCCTGTATGCCCTCGCTTTTCCTCTGAATGCCTTTTTCAGAAGGCCCTAGAGACTGCGCATTCAACGAAGTTATCTCAGATTCTGCCTCCCTTGTCGGGTATGCAGATTCTCCATTTTATGAAGCCGTACGTATATCTCTTTGCGCTCCAAAGACTTAAGCCATTTGTTTATTAATAGTATGCAAAAGAGACTCACGCAGGGTGGTATCAAGGTGTTGCATTGCCTTATTCACAGCCTTTTCGATCATGGACGCAATCGATAGGGAAAGTGATGTTTATATTGCTATGTTATGGCAAGGTGCTGCACCAGCGTACCCTTGAGTTCTGACCTGAATTTCAGCAATGGCACCCTTTCAGGAGCATCGCCTTTTGTATACACTTTCAAGAATTTGGTTTTCATGTGCCTTGGCTGAGTGATTTAGGTTATCAGCACAGAGTGCTTCATGGTAATAACAGCACTACAGTCACTTGAGTTGTGCATCTCACCACAAACTCTGCATCTAGGTAGTAACTGGCATCCTTTCACTGTGTGTCCATAGCGTCAACACTTTATACGCTGTAGGGGACGAAGTGATAGCGGCTCCACTCTGTAAATAAAGGCCACGCCTTGATTTTGGTTGGGCGGCTTGACCCGACAAACGTAACAACCACGGACTCATTTAGGACCTTTTTCTTATCCACAATTCGACTACATCCATAAACTGCTATCACACCTGCTTCGGAAAACATATTTAGTATCTAAGTTGGAGTCAAGTTGACATGAACACCCCGAATGACGCCTTTGACACAAGCTAGGTGAGGTGGAATGAATGCGCTCACCGGGTTGGTAGCGAACATTGAGCATTTCAGTAAGTCTTCAACACAGAGCTGGTCAGAGGAGAAGTCGAGAATGTTTCTTTTGCCAAACTGTCGGACCTCCGTAATGCTTTAATGAGGGGCTAGCTGTAGCGGCGACATATAAACTTTCCTTATTCTTGCTTCGCATATCATCGATTCCCACTGTACGCGAGATCTGCCTTTTTTGAAATCTTAAACACCGGTGGACTCATCTCAGGAAGGGCTCCAATTACTCCATGTGCAACACCACCTGTTTCTACTAATTAGTAAGTTGAGTAACCTTCTTTCCAATTACTGTCATAATTGAAGTTGTCCAGCGGAAAATGAAAGGAGGCTGATGATTTCTGGACACATTTCTCATTGTGTATTGCATATTCATTTAACTGCTCCCACTTAATTGGCAGATGTTCCTCGTCTTATCCTTCGATTGTTACTTGCTTTTATCCGCACAACTAGTTTGCCCCCTGAAATTCTGTTACTGGTGGAAGATGACTGATGACTGTACATGGGACACATAGTCATCATAATCTTGCCCGTGTTCTTTTTGTTTTCTTTTATTTTTTCTGTAAGATAAACTCACATCAGCTGTATGACACAAGTATAGTATATGGAGAAATCAGTTGGATACACGCTCGAAAGTAGGTTTGCTTCCGGCGGGACAACCACCTGCAAATATTGCAAAGGCTAGATCTATCGGCAACCTGCATGAAAACTCGACTTGCTGTGCAAGCTGAAAGAAAACGAGAAGGGAGATAGATGTGACACATACTCATGGGTAAGTATGTGCCACATGTATGCGGGCATTGCCAGAGGTGACTGAGAGGTATATCTACCAAGGAATAGCGAGAGCAGACATGCGTTATTTTACCGTGTGAGCGTTAAGAAAAGGCTGACATCAGCAGTGACAGCTCGCGCAGCAAGTCAAGTTTTGAAGTATCAACAAACTAGTCTGCAAAGAAGTATGGCAACCTGCAACATACTCGTCATCCCTCGCTTTCTTTGCAATTAGCCATTGCTCCATAGTCTTTATTATCGAGACGCCATCACGGGGTCTCTTTCTCGCGCTCATCTTTCCGTATACTTGTTAGCATGTCATGCCAACATCTGTGATTTAAGGAGATATAAGCATTGCCTGTCATCTACGAAAAGAAGGTAAGTCAGAACCACCTCTTCTCTCCCTGATCATGAAGAACGTACATTGTCATGTGAACGTAAACATGATGCATTGTAATTACCCTGAGAAAGTGAAGTGTACAATTACAAAATTAACAGTATGTGCGTAAAAAGTTCACCGTCTACATTCGGGAGCATTCAATATGTTGAAAAAGCGCCTTGCACGCTATTTCACCAAGTTCCATGTCTTAACAGATGCGACCGGAACAGCCGTAGGCTCGAGTCGTTGTAGCACAAAAAGCGGAACCAACGTGCACTATGAAACGAGAGCTGAGTTGGTATTGCTGCCTTGCGGTCAATCTTTATCTCCGTGCCAGGAGAGGAGTTGAGTTTCTCGGCTTGATATATTCCCAGAGCTCGGAAAGCGAGGAGCATCTCGAACGCGGCCCGCACTCGCGACTTGGTCTGCGGTCCCTGGAGAAGCTGCATGGCTCTCGCATAAGAATGCTACTCGCAATATTTATAAGTGTGGCCGCCGGGTTTTGCATTGGATCAGGCCATTTCTTTGAACAAGATCTGAACAATGAAGACCAAAAGAGTGAGTGATTTTTTCTTACAGAGGGTATTCTTGCACACATTTTACCAGCACGAGTAATACAGGGACAAAGAAAGACCACAAAAGACTGTATTCGTCTCTGTCTTATTCTCACTGATAAAATTTATTCTCGTCAGAATTGACTAGCTCAATTTTCCCTGAAACCGGCAGTTAATTCAGCCAAGTAAACCACAGAAGACGTTAATTGTACTATTTTAAGTGTTTTGGGACACTTGCGGTATAGAAGTCACGGATATGCATGGATAGCAATCCAGCCCTTTCGCAAATCAAGCATGCCAGATTACTTTACAAAATGGTGAAATGGTCACAACAACGTATTTCAATGGATACCCAGTCCCATTAAAATAAAGGGTAATATAGAGGCAGACAGCCTCGCCAAAAAATCATTGAATGAAGGACGGGATAGCATAATCCTTATGTCTGGAGTGGATATTCGACATTTTATAACGCAAGGAGCTAAACATTGTTCTAAGGAGAAGTGGTTTGATAGCCTTAAAACAAAGGAATCAATATTTTATTACTTTGATTCACACAGAAAATATTCAATAGCAACAAATCTCCCGCGACACTTAGAGACATTATTCCACAGACTTCGACGGTAAGTAGCATACACAAACAGCGCCCTGCACAAAATACATCGATCAAACTCCCTTGAATACCATTGTGGTCATGAAGGAAAACATTTTCACCACATTCTTTTAGAGTGCGTAAAGTACGCAAATGAAAGAGAAAAATAAAGAAACAAACTAGCAAGTTTGAACAGACGGCCCCTCACATTAAAAAAATTGCTCGGACCGTGACCTGAGATGCATCTTCAGAAAAAGGGGAGCATCTTCCTTACAGATTTCTCAGTGGAGACCGGTCTGGATAAGCGCATGTGACAGACACCCAGGGGTTGACATATGGGAAATGATGTGTTATTACATATATTGAGAGTAGAAACATCAAAGTGTACATTTGAACATGTTATGACAGTGGGAACGGCTGCAAGAAAACTGTGCATTGACAAGTTATTTCAACTGGTTTCAGTGTGTTATTATGTTTTTGTGGCTGATTGTTCATTTTTGGGCGCTGGGCGCGACTCAATTAATATTATTTAATTATTATTATTTTTATTTTTTTGCTGCAGACCTTATTTATATGTAGTAGTCGAGGTGATATGAACCTCAACCTCTCCCCAGCAAAACAGTTAGAACAGAACAGAAAAGATGTCAGTAAAGTATACGTAAACATAACTTGTAAAGTAACGTAAAAATAACCATTGGCAGGGACCGAACTGGGGCTCTATGCAGGATCGGCCGAGTTTCGCTCAAGTTCGCGAAACTCGGAATCTTCCCGAGCTCTGGTGACACCCCCTTATGAACGAGCCAACGGTACGAAAAAGTCAAATCCACCCCGAAGCGTGTTGCGTTTCATTGGTTATGATGGAACCATTCATAGCGTCAAGGACTGTCCACTAAGTAGGGCGGTGTTTTCAAACCAGAAGCATCTTGTTTCATTTGTTTCTCGTTCCACTGAGTGCAGAAGTGCATCCATGCAACACAAGTGTTAGAAACGCTTTGTTATGACATTTTTTAAAGGCACAAAGCGTTAAAATTTATTTTGAAGCTTTTAATGCCTGCACTAAGTCTGTTTTAGAATAATAAGCATGGTTGCCTCTGAGATCAGTACCATCCCAACATCTTACAACATCGCAACCACAGCTGAATACGAGGTCACGTGCTAATGATCATGGTCAGCCAGTATATTATAGTGCGCGAATCGGCTGGTGTGCATCGTCTTAGTCGTCGGAGCCCGCTAGCACAGGAGCACGTACGGCAGGCTATATAGCTATAGAGGCGAAGCCCCTAAAACCGTGGGTCTGTTCCTCCTAGATCGTGGTACGTGACTGCCTAGTTCGATTACTGACTTGGCAGGTGTGGACGGATGGATGGACAGACAGACAGACAGACAGACAGACAGACAGACAGACAGACAGACAGACAGACAGACAGACAGACAGACAGACAGATGATTCATGGTTTACCAATAAAACCCTCCGAAGCTTCGCCCCACTCATCATCACGCCCTCCATGGATATGGTGTGATTTTTTCAGCTGGACGGTATATTTCGCTTGTTTGGACAGAACATGCTATGACTAAGCTAACTACGCCAAGTCATGGTAAGGCCGAAGTAATTAAGTCATATCTTAAGAATACAGTGCTAATGAAGCCATGTAGCGCTTGATAAGTCATGGTTTACCAATAAAACCCTCCGAAGCTTCGCCCCACTTATCATCACGACCTCCCTGGATATGCTGTGATTTTTTTTAGCTGGACGGTATACTTGGCTTGTTAGGACAGAAAATGCTATGACTAAGCTAACTACACCAAGTCATGGTAAGACCGAGGCAATTAAGTCACATTTTAAGAATACAGTGCTAATGAAGCCATGTAAAGCTTGAACTGGGCTAGCTAAAGCATGCTAGTTGATGAGCTAACTAAACTATACTAATTATTGCGACGTTATTATACTAAGTAAAATAATGCTAATTAGCCATGACTAATGTGATCACAATTAGTATCCTGCTAACCAGATTTACGTTTAATAGCTCCATACTGATCATGGCCTTGCTAACTGCACCCGAGATAATTGCTTTTAATTGAAGCCTTGTGATGAAGACAAGAAAGCTCCGTGTAATAGTCCTTAAGCCTCAGTGAATCAGTACAACAAAATTATACAGAGCTGATGTGGTCTTCACTTCGAAACCAACCCTGCATATTAGTAGACGATCAGCTTAAAAAGCTGAAAGCATCTAGGTTATCACAAGCTCCTCTATTGCACCAGCTTTGCACAAGTAGTTCAAGCTCGCCAAATTACTTTATATGCAAAGAAGCTGCCATGCAGCGTTCACCGCATCAAACGCTTAACAGTCTCACCAGCACCATCACAGTCACGAGTTGAACTCGGGCCTTCTCAGAATCAACGAATTTGTATCCGATTTCACGCTTCAATCAGTTTGATTGACAGACTCCCGCAGTGAAGATTGGGTACGCCCACCACGTTTGTGCTCACGACGAGCGGCATGATTAATCTATCAGCTTTATTGTGAAGACTATGCGCAGACGCACGCAGAAGTAAAAGTGATATCACCACGCGGCCGCGACGCCTTGCATGCATTCAATTTCACCGCGCTCACGACGTATCTAATCACAGGCGTGTTGCCGCCATGATGCGAGTGCCCCTGGAGAACACCTGTCCTTATATATATCTGCAATATTTGATACAAGCGAAACGAACAGCATGAGAGTGCTGCGTGTGCACCCTTGCTGCCTTCCAGAGTGGAAATTTGCATGCTGCAAGTGGAACGAAAGAACCTCTCCGAAAGAGAACAAATGCCCACGAACACGCCTGTGGGAGGTGCGTGTAGAGTTGGCAAAAAGATAGCGCGACAATCACGCTGACGTCGCTGCACTGTTAAAATTTTGATTGAGTGGCGGCGCCGACGTATCGAGCGTGGTGTTTCTTTGATAACTGCCGCAGAAGTGCCCCGTGCGTTTCCAACGCCACGCACGTTCCTGCAGACATTTTCATCAACACTGCAATGCCGCGGTCCGCACTGTCTTTATACCATGGCCACAGCGAGTGAGCGCGGAGTGAACACGTCTGCCCGGTCGCCCTGGCGACCTTTGCGTCCACCGGTTGCAGTCTGAACACACACAAACACACACACACACCCTCTCTCTCTCTCTCTCTACAGTTACCGTGTCCCATACTTTACTTATTTTCATCATTGGCTGGCTTTCATTAGGATCGTGCCAAATGAAGAAATGAATCCTCGAAAATTTTGTTCCTAGTTTAACTTTCATCTTTAGCAGTGAGTGTTCGTTTACGTCATTAGGGATGTGATTTTCATTGCGCCATAACCACGTGCTTCCAAACACATTGTGTGCGCTTTAACTAATGCGAAGCTGTTATTTGAGACGTTAATGAGCAATTTTATGGTCATGGCTCCTTTTTTGACTACTCGTATTCTCATGCACTAAAATAAGTGCACTCAGCATGTAGCCATGCATGTTTTTTAGCAGAATTAACGGCACAGTGTTATCAAAGAGCCCCAGTGTTTGCCTGCTGCTCGTGCAAAGTAAGGTGTTAATATTGCTGCTATTCTTATTCCTATAGCTAGAGACACGTTCTCCGTGTTATTTTTAATGTTGCGCACGTTATGATGGCGCTGGTTACAATGGAAAAAGTACAAGAATTTTTTTTTACGATGACTGACGATGACTGGCATGCTAATACGGTTAGCATTCAAGCAATGTAGCTATCCAGCCCCTATACTTCAAAACGATGACACCTTTTGGTTACGAAAAAATGAATATTTTATTGGCTAGCCGAATCGGTCTGTGGAGCTAAAGCCTAATGTAGGCTACGGCACATAACATCGGCCATAAATCAGGAAGAATGGTAAGTTTTGATGAGCGCTCAAAGGATTATTAACCCTAACTCAATCACGTCCTTGACGTGAGTTAGTATAGACTGGGGAGGCTGGATCAATGCCAAAGGCCTCCTTCATGACCTCGCTAAATCAGATGCTTTGAATAAGCTATTAGTGCACATTGAAGTCCCTGCGCTACAATATTCTCTGGCCTCTTACTTTGTTTCTGACTATCAGAGTGACGGTCCTTAGACATAGCTTGTTTACTTTATATAATGAGGGACACGTTCCACACAAACACACAACTTGAATTGGTGCATAAGTTTAATAAAGATCAGTGTATTGGTCTGTGTGCATGAACGTTTTCAAATATCTAAAAACATTCGTGTAGTCCCACCCTTGTAAGTCCGAGGCGATCAGAACGATGACTGGTTGCTCTGAAGTGGCACAGGCGTGCTTTCTTAAGCCCGGCTGCAACCACAGCATGTATGTCACGTCTATTATAGTTTTAAAGTTATCTCGTTGTTATGTTGCCATGTTAGGCATAATTAGTATGCAAAGAAC